CAGAGGAGGCCTAACATTCACCTAAATGATAAATGAGGGCTGCTAGCTAACGGCCACCTTCCCAGGATCCTCCACCAGGTCACATGGCTGAATGCTGCTCCGGTATTGGCCTGTATTTGCCACCAAAAGAGGCATCCGGACGCTGGTCCGCTATATTAAAAATATTAATAATAAGCTTAATAATTGACTCAGGAATGCATTTTATATTTATTTTGAGGTGATGAAAGTACATAACACTGGCAAACGTCTACCTTCTAACAGGTTAATGTCGAATTCATTACAGAGGTAATAAGGAAATGCCAAAAATATTAATTTCTTGGACAATGTTGAACAATATTTTTCATCAAGATTGGAGTTCAACACAACCAGACTGAAACCTAACAGTCTGACGTTACAGTTTGTTATGAAATGATGCTATCCTGGTAGATTCAGGGGGTCCAGGACTTTACAGGGGTCTTTGAACATGTAAAATTGCAAAATTCTATTATACTGGCGGGGGGGGGCAACTCAGAATTTCAATCTACACCCCTGGCTGTCCCACATGCAAGACCCAGAGTCGGAGAGAAACACAAATAAGTTGCAAAGGCGCTAAAGTACAGCATTAGCGTTCATATTTATTTTATTTCATTTATTTTTTTTCCGTTGCATAGGAAATGCACAATTTGCTTCCAGGAAGTTGAGTGAAGACATGGTTGCACTGATGGGTCAGGAGGTCTGTACCCCCTTTGAGAAAAGAAAGACAAAATAGAATAAAATAAAAAAACGGTAAGAGTACGGTAAGTTCAGTCACATGTGATATGTACAGACACAGTGGAACTCAGCTAACCAACAATGGAACCAGTGACATCATCAGTAAACAATGGGCACTCATGGATACCAGTCAGTTCAGAAGAGGTGTATTAGAGGCACAAGGTTTTGTTTTATGTGAAACAACTGTCAGATAAATGGAGATGCTTGTGTGGTGTGATTTCTGTGGAATGGACAGAACAGGAGGGGAGGAATATGTGGGACAAACGCGTATGAAACGATGACCAGGAGCATGGGGAGCAGAGAGGTGTGTCCTCCAGGTGGGACGTCACACTGACGACTGACCCCCCCACGCCAGCACGCAAAAATATATCGCCGGGATTGTCTTCATCGTGATAATTAGTCTCCAGCCACGCACTGCACCGTGTGCCCTTGAAAGATCCCGAAAGCCAGGAAGATGCTGCACACAATGATATTTCAAAGCCGAAATGGTCTTTCACAATAACCCCCAAAAGATCAATTCAGTTTTTCATTGCATACTGTGTTTAAAGTCTTCTGGCACTGGTCAGATTATGGAAAACATCTACACTCTCATCTTCTCTGCATGTTACACTCTGATATATATTTAAATGTTAGGAAAGCATGAAGGGATAGTGCAGTACACCATATGAATAGCTAGGCGGTATACTGTAGTCTGTCCCTTTTCTTCATTTATTACCCGTGACATCCTTAGATGTGACCCTCATACGGGACTTGCTGCGTGTTTGACTGCCATCGACGTGCGTCGCATGTGGTCAGGCAGGGACATCGACCGCCGAGGGTCAGTCATCGTGCCGTTCATCGCTCTCAGGTCTTCAGCCCAGGTGTCCTGATCAACCTTTCCATCGGAAAGCGATGCCTTTGATGCAGTATCGAGGGAACAACCCAAGCTCATCTCTCAAAAGCTTCCCGGAGCCCCGCTTTGCTCAGGCAGGGATTCTGAGTCCAATAGTGCTGAATGGGCTTTATACAGCTGTCACATCGATTCCTCAGCTAGCTTAGCTTTCGAGAAAAGAGGCCTCGGATGTACATCCCAATCACTTAAAATTGCCAATTTCCTTTCCTCCTTCTCTAGCACAAGAGGCTGTGGGCGGGGCGCCCTGCTCCGTGCATCGCAACAGCACGGCCCCGGCGTGGATGTGGGGCGGGGGGCAGCTGCACTGGAGACTAACGATTGTCAGATTCGGACGTCTGTAAGAAACGCCTGGTGAGAATCCTTACAGCCTCAACCAGCAGTGCATCCATCCCCGGGGAAGCGATGGAGATCTGAGAGAACGTGCAATGAACCCCCCCACCAGAAAGGAACAAAATAAAATAGTGATTCTGAATCTGAAGGCAATGGCTTTTCCATACAGAAGAGGGGAAATACTTATAGAAAAGACATAATTAAAAAACACACCCTCACACCCAGAAAAGCAGACAGCCGAGAAAATCGAATGCGAGAATGTAACCGGGGAGAATCGGAACAAAACAGACGAATGAACAAACGAATGAACAAACAAGCAAACGATTAAAACGAAGACCAGCCGAGTAAGAGAGGCCTGCAGGAATCCACAAGGAATGATGGACGGAAGAAAAGACTAACATAACCCTTTAGTGTTTTTTAGTTTTTTTAGTAATATTCATAACAGCTTACTAGGCGATTATGGAAGAGCATGCATTCATATTCTATGTTACTCGTACATCAGTTATAAGAGGGTCTGGAAAAGGATCCTGGTGTCGAGGAACTTAAACAAAATCAAACAATACTCAGTATTCCGAAGAGCAGTATAATACAGTCTTTCACAGGCACTACATTTGTTCTTTTTTTAAATATATGACGTAATATGCTGGTTCGTTTCTCGTTAAATATTAGTATTAGGCTTTTTTTTTTTTGATTTTCACATGATTTATTCTGTAGTTAAGCTGGCATATTGAAAAACACATTGGCCATTAAAGGAGGCAAAGGCTGCCATTAACAAAGTAGTTCACTATTTTAGAGAATGTTTATATATGTATATATGTATATATACATGTGTAATTGTGTATATATACGATTATATATATATAAACGTGTCTGTATATTTGACTGATTAGTGCATAGACTTCATGCAGATAGAACTGCTATACTTTATAAGCTGTCAGAAAGCTGAATGAGCCCCGATTATCACATTGTCAGCATGTCCTCCTTCAGACCAGCCTGAATTAGCACCACGTGAGCGTTTTGCAATAGAACAGTTCAAAGGACCAGTGGCTTCATTTGGGTCACAGTCACATGCTTCCTGCTCCTGCAGATTCCTGTGGGTTTTTTTTTTTTCTCAGATTTTTTTAAAAACAGTCCCCTGGTAGAGAGCACGGCTGTGACAGTGCGAAGGAGGTTTCCAGAAGCTTGGTTCTAATGCCGCAGTTACTTGTGTAAACTGTCAAAGTAACGACCGTGACAAAAGAGGGACAGCAACCCCGTTTGCTCCCGGAGGATCCACGTTATCACTATTGAAATGCAACATTATTGTACTAAGAAAGTTCTACTGCCGTTATTATTTACTAATATTATTAATTTCTGGTTTTAAATACTAGGCATCTCTGGTAAGGAGGAAGAGAGAATACACCTTCCTGCTTTAGGTGTCTCTGAAGCTCCTCAGACGTGGTCTTAGAATCAGTTTCATTTTTTTTTTACCCTGAAGAAAAAACATTTTTGCAGCTCTACATTTTCATATATATATATATATATATATATATATATGTTGCTGCTGTCATACCCAAGAAACAGCCTGACAAATTCTGCCAATACTATTGCAAACCATATTTCAAGTTTCATATTCATGTCTTTTTTTTTTGTTTTCCATTTTCCTCATACTTGTCCAAGGACTAGCGATAATACTGATCCAGGCACAGTACCTGCAGGAAGTAAGACACTGGCAAACACAGGCAAGGGCTTCACTCAGCCCCATTTCCTGCTTGGGGGCCAGATTTTCTCAGACAGTCAGGGAAGTACAAATGATAGAGACGATTGAGTTTGGAAACTCAGGCATAAACGTCCTGCAGGAGAGGAATACGTCAGTGATTACCCCTTTCCAGTCCATGTCCCCAAATGGATAGTGATGTTTAGTGTGACACGGAGGCCATTGGACAATAAGTACTTGGGTCACCCCAGGAAAACATTTTAACCTTTTGAATAACAGATATTTCTGATGGTCTAAACACTGACTACCAACACTTTCTTCATTTTGCTAAAATAAATGCAACTAATCAACAGCCATGTGACAGGTGCACATGGCTCACCGCCGGTCACATGGTCATTATAAATGCGTGTGATTGGTTTGCCTGGCCTTTGTAGGCCTGCTAAGGTTCATGACTTCCTGCCTCCACAAGCCGCTTGCTGGTACGTACAAAGGTGATATTCCCTGACAATCTCCAAGGCGTTATCCCTGTTCTGTGGCTGCCGTGGCCATCCGGACTGATCGGAGAGACATGGCAGAAGAATCTGATGGAAACAACAGGGATGAGATGGCATGAAGAGCTGTCGAAAACGAAGGACAGTGGGAGATCGGAGGCGCTGGGGAATTTCGGGATGTGTGCGTTTGTGGCTCGCAGCATCGCGTTAGCGTGATAAGGGGAAGCTGGGGGCCCACATCTTTGGCAGTGATTGCCATAATGCTTTAGGGATCCTTGGAAATAATTAAAAATCCACGTAGTCAGTATTCCTCCAAGCAATCACCTTCATATACTGTAAAACCAGAAATGCAACTGAGTAAATCCCATCTCCTGTCCCCCACCAAACACAACACCTGGAGAGAGGCCTTCTCTGTATGCATGTCCTGTCTTGTTGCAGAGAGCATTGTGGGATTTTATGGCCCTCTGAAGTTCTCCACTGCTTACCCAGCACCCCCTGTGTTGGCTGTGGATGGTACAGTCCATATAATGTGGGCCATCTACAAACCTCTGCATTGAGTCTGCATTGAGAAAATTGCATGTGTGTAAAAAGGCGAAGAAGAGGGGACTTTCTAACAGCCTCCTTGGGAGTCCTTGAGAGTTTTTTGGAAACTGGTGGCAGGGATAGCAGGCGATTGGCTACTACAGGGTAACTTGTGTGGGCTGAATGGAGAGCAGGACCAATGAGAAGGGATAGAATGGAGTGCACCGCAAATAGGAAGCACCTGGGGATTTGAGGGGGACCATGAATGGTGAGAGTGGGGTGGGTCAGGCGAGCTTTTACCAAAAAGAAAAAAAAGAACCATGTTGCATATCCAGATGTTTATTTTCCTGCATGGAATGGTGAACACAAAAAAGATGCCAAGATGTATTTATAATAGGGGGCATCCTTTGGCTGCCTATGTCATTGTCTTTTGCCTAAACTAATTTTTTAAAATGCATATAAAACACTCTCATCTCTTGCCATTGAATTACCTAGATTTAGCTTCAATACTGATGCAACAAATAACCTTCAAAACATACAGCATACTTGCAACATCAATTTACAATAGGTATTTTCACCTCAACATCCTATACTTTTCAAATATAGGATTATTCTATATCACTGAAAGCTGAAAGAAAAAGTCCTTAAATACATACAAAAAGGAAAAAAAAAGAAATATAAAGGAAACAGGAAAGTTTTCAACTTAAATCCAGTTCCCAAAGAACAAACAAAACCGATTCTATTAATGTGGCCTTGATACAAACAATCATAAATTTCATAACACTATTTTTCCTCATTTAATCAATGTTACAAAAGTCCTGCATTATAAAATAGGGCAGCTTTAAAATCAGTGTAATTAATAAAACTATACAACATACAAATGACAAATCTCCCACGCCGTCGGACACCCCCGCCCTGCCTGCCTGGGGGTCCTGCTGTCCGTTGTTTGATTTCCATTTCTGGCATCATAACTAAGTTACGCACACAACGAAAACAGACTGCCCAAACTATTGCTTTGATATTCCTGTTTTTCGTTTTTTTTCTTTTCTTTATAAAGGGTGCAATTTCGTCGTATCTTACACACACAGCCAAATGTCACTGATTAGACGCTATGCTGCTCAAAATATTTTTTCTTGACAAAAATGTCCGTGCAATTAATTTTTCCCTTCGCTCATAAGCTCCAGAAGCCGCATTTCTTCTTAATGTTCTCGCTATTTATTTATATTTAGTGCACATAATTAAGAATGTAATGCCCAACTCAATGCTAAAGGGTAGGCGAGGACAGTAACAAAAACATACACTACTGTCACGCTAAAAAAACACAAATCCTGCACAAGGTTAACTACTAAACCATGGCAGACAGCTAGGAGAACGATCCCCGTACTCTAAATGCTTCTTAATGATATTCGCAACACGTAAGTAAACAATCTCTATAACTTCGAAGTTGTCAAAATGTATATATAAAAATGGACTTTTTAAACTCGCTTCTCCTGAATGAAATAAACTGTCACATTTAAAAATAATATCAATGTGGGTTTGTGAAAAAAAAAATGACGTTTAAGTTTCGTTTAAGGCTTGCTTGTGAAAAAAGAGAGAAAATACCTACTGTTAGTTCAATTGTAAAGATTACGAAAAAGGAAACACTCAAACTAGGCTGACTGGGCTTTATATACTGACAGTTATCCTGTAGTCAGGTATTCTTGCAGACTGACAGAGTTCAGCACTAGATAAAAAACAATAATAATAACTAAAAAAACAAAAAAACAAAATTAGTGTCTACATGAGTGCAAGCAGGTATTGCATATTATTTTTTCTCGTTACTCATTTCTGGGAACAAAAAACAGGAAGACGATAAAAAAAGACATTTCCATTTAAAAATTGCAGCAACATCCATAAAGATCATTAAACCAGCGCCGACGTGAATGGAAATCAGGGCACGAGGGGCCTGGACTATCTACAGCACATGAAGGACCTAAGATCATACACCCATTCAGTGTACACTGGAGGGGGGGCATGTCTTGTAGATGGAAGCTGACCTAGCTCAACAGCAGCAGGGCCCCACGGAGCTGTGGTGTGTATGTATGTGTGTGTGTGTGGNGGGGGGGGGGACCTCGCTCGTACACATCACAGGTGGGGGTGATTGCATCAGAATAAGTAACACACTGTCATCATTACTCAGGCCTGAGATGTGTTTCGTTAAAAAAAATGGCTGAATGTGATGCTGTTTTCCGCTATAATCATTAACGCAGTTACTACTACAATATCCTATTAGCAACAGAATCCAACGACTAAATTCTCTGTGGTTTCCTACACAGTAATGGGTTAGGGTTGGGGGGGGGGGATCAGCACTAAAGAAAAAGAAAAACTCTCCACAACTTGTGCAACAACTCAGGACTAGACCACCGCTCAAGGCACCTTGATGAGGAACAATTGTTTCGTGCAATTTGAGAACGTAAAAGGGATATATATATTCTTTAAACAAACAAAATTCTGATAGTTTCAAATGGAACAAAAGACAGGAAACATCAGGGAAATGGGAGGCAAATCTGAGGAAACGTTTAGCTGGTTGATTGTGAAGGATAGTAAAAAAAAACCCTTTGTCAGGATGAAACAAGTGTAGGGCTATTGGCAAGTGCCTGGTTTTGGGGTAACAATATTGTGTTTGTTCACACTACTTTAAGTCTACATAATCTATGTAAAAATTTGTCACTAACACTAGAACATGCAGATTTTTTTTTAGTTTTTTAAAATATTTTTACTCAGTCTTGATCGACGGAGGACGAGTCAGTCATACGATTGTAAATATATGTATAGATAGGAAACGATGAACAAACAAAAAAAGGTAGCAAGTTGCATGTGAAACAACAGAGAGGCTTCGCTGCCTGACCGCCCAACACGAGATTCTCCTCATATTCCAAAGGAGGTCCTTTGCCCACTTTTTTCTCCCTCTCTTAGAGTCCTATTTGTATTTATTTAATTTTTTCTTCTCCATCACACGCTACTGACTCACAGCCCACCTCAGGGATAAGTGCATGGTTCTGGAGAGGGCCGGAGGCAGACCGCTCTCTAATCAGCGCTCCCGCCAAACCCGGGCCGCAGCCAGGTACCACCTTCACGACAGAAGAGTTGGTGGGTTAGGACGGATGTGGGGTGAGCCCGACCCCTTCGCGCCGTTCCTTCTGGATTCTGTCTCACAGGAAATTAATACAGCTAACATTGTTTTTTTTCAAAATCATGTGCTTCGTTAAAATAAGCTGGTTGCTTATAGTCTTTTTTTTAAAAAAAGAACTTTACATGATCTAGCTTAAAAGCGGTGAGAACGTCTTAAAAAATGATTGTTTAGTGATTTTAAAGGGATATTTGTAGCAAAATACTAAATAAATTTACAAGATGAATAAACAATTAAAAAAATCTACATAAAATCAAATACAACTCCCCTCATTTCTCACAAGGCTATAATTTTTTTTTCTTTTTTACCCCAATATTTTAGAGTCCTGGAGGTGTAATCGGACTAGGAAGAAATATATATATGTATATATATATATATTTTTATATATATATATATATATACTTTTCAACAATCATCCCATTAATGTCTATCTTACGAAGATATTTAACTATCCAACAGCTACCAAATGAAATTGCACTTTCCTCAATTCAATATTCCATTGTTTGCCTTAAGTCATTATTGTCAGTGTTTGCGGAAGTACAGGCCACCTCTGTGCCTCGCATTGCACTGGAGGGGGTCTTTAAAATCGCCAAAATGCATCCTGCTCAGGGGACAGGACTGGACTAGTTATCTGAACACACCTTGGTAAAACACTTGACGTTTTTTTAAGCCTCTGAGTTCTTGATCTTCTGCCAACTGACCGTCATCGAAACATCAGGACCGCCTTCCCCTGCCGCCATGCCACGCCGCCGGCCCGACACCCCCCATGCCCATGAAGCGGAGAGGATAAATGGATTTGTTTTCGCTTGCTTTCCATTCGCAGTATGGCATGTCCCTGAAAAGCCCTGATGCAAGGGCCCACCTCTTGGGGGGGTGGGGGTCCACTTCCCACGGCCAGCGCCGGTGAGAGACGGCGGTATCCAATTGGAGAAGGTTCTAGCCGGTGTCAGACTAGACGAAACCACTGGACCAGACAAACACAAACTACTTCACTCAGATCCATGAAAAAACAAAAAACAAAACAAAAAAAAAAACAAGAAAAAAACCTTCCAAACTATTCTGAGATCACGGACCATACGCTATATATACACACCAGTCTGTAGACGCCCAGAGGCCTTCAGGACCAGCTACAGCAAAAGGATGAGAGAGGCTGTTGGATCGAGTTCCGTCCATTTTGCCCCTCTGGCCTCGGGTGACAGGAACATATCGTGCGCTTTCCCAAAAGAAATGAATCACTCCTCCATGATGCTCCAACAAGCAATTCCAGCAGAGACTGACTGCACCCATATATAGATATAGATATATAAACCATACATATAAATAAATATATATGGGTTTCATAGATATACGTGGCATATGCATGTGCCGGGGTGAATATTCCTCATGGTTCAGGGAGGGGCCGGGGTTCTGCTGTAGCCATGCGTCTCTTAGGAGCAGGTGTATCTCGGGGGTGGGGTGGGGGGTCGCTCCTCTCTGTCAGACGGGTGTACAGGTTTGCGGGCCGCACTCAGGGGAGACAGCGGGAGTTGAGCGGGCAGTGAGACTGTGGAGTCCTTAGCCCAGGTACCACTGTGGGGAGAAGAGGAGAGAGAGAGGGAGGTCAGCGCCGGGCTGTGAGGGAGTCCCGACCCGCAGGACCAACAAACAGCTTTGACGCATGTAGCCCGGCTCCCGGTCCTGCCCACACCCCCCCCGCCCCTTAGGCCACACACTTCCGGATCTGCAGCATTTCACTGATTGCTTTTTTTCCTGATGGGAGGGGGGGAGGGGGTGTGTAGCTGGGGGGGGGGGG